CTGGACACTCTCTTTCTGTCATGCTTCTACCTTGCACTTCAAGTTTTCTGCATGAGACCAACATGACCACCACTGACAATGAAGTGGGTGAGTTCTGCCTGTTACAGATAAGACATTAAAAATACTTTTTCATGACAGCATCAACACTGCTATCATTTACAGGCTTATACAATGATGCTTAAGAACATCAACATTATTTAACATTTGGGTTTAGTTCAGGAACAAAACTGCAGCCATCTCCTAATTTATAAATGGGCTATATCATCTCTAGTGCTGCTGCATTTTGTATTAACAAACTAATTTTAAAACACTGAAGAGGTATTTTAATGTTAGTCAAGAAGTGTTTACACAAAGGGAAGTAATACAAAGCACACAATTACTTGTGTAACATAGCAATAGCTTCTCTTGTTTTCAACTGATCCAGTCCAAACGTTAAAGCAAAACGTCGAGCAAGTTCCTTTATGCCACTGAATGTCGGTGATGATCTGTCAAAATTATAGCCGTTTTCTTGAATCATTTCATTGAAAAGCTGTATGAAATGAAAAGGGAGATTTTCATTTATTAAAAGATTATGCCAAACATTGGACCAATCGACATAGACATAAGTTTCAGTAAAAAAGTGTTTTACAGCTTTTTTTTCTTAATTCGACAGCCCCAAAAGACAAACATGGAGGTTTAGGAAAGCCAAGTCAAGACTACTCTTGAAGAGTCTGCACTTCAGAGTTAATCCCTGAAATGGATTTACATGTCAAACTGTAAATATGTTGGATGACAGATCTCAGCATTTCCCTAAATGAGCTGTTCTAGAGTTGAGAATACTAAAAATTGGTAGGATTCCCCAATATGTACACTAACAAAGAAGAAATAAAGAGGGTGAATTCTTACCTGGTCTTTACTACTACAATTTGTCAAACTACTACTTTCTAATTCATTTTTTAGTATCTTTTCAAAATACAAGTATAACCGAGAAATTCTAAAATGGAAACATGTCTTCAGGGAAGCAGCCAAAGACACCAGAAACTCTGCCACTGAGGATCAGAATTTTAACTATTCATCAACAGTCAGCAAAGCTGAACACTCTGAACTTCACAATCTTTTTTTTTCTTTTTCCCCCTTTGATCAATCCTTTTCTCATCCTACTGAATTTGACCATAATTCTCTTCAACAGTCAACTTTTCTGTTATTTTCTAATTTTGTCTAACACATTCACCTTTCACTCTCTCATATAACAAAAAATAAACCAAAACCAGACTTACTAGGGCTATGAACATTAACTTTTCATTTATAGAACGTTTTGGCCAATAGCTGCATACTTTGCTTTTATGTTGGTGTAGGTCACTGCAGCTTAGTTATCCCTTTATCCACTACCACTTCTAGTATTTCTTCTCTGACCGGTTTCTTTTTTAAGAAGTTTTAAGTTTAGTTACATGTTTAACTTTACATGTGGGGTTTTTTTTTTATTTGTTTGTTTCATAATACTTGGGTCCCCTCATGTTACTATTCTTATTGCCACACAGGGAGGCAGTTACACAATCCTAATTACGTGCATAATTGTACTTACTGCAGTCACTTCCTCTGTCTGTCCTTTAAAATATAATGGGCTGGTTGTTCTTGAGACAGAAAAGACTAATAAAGATAGCATTTACCCAGTAACACAAAAATTTCTGAACTCTGGTGAAAAGTCAGCAAAAACTGTAGGAATACTTAGTTGTGTATTTTATGTTGCAGTTCCACCAGCCACTTAAAGTCATGCTGCTATCAAAAGGAAAGGCCTCATCCTCCCTTGTACTGGCAATATCCATAGAGATAAAACAGCTTAGGGGCTCCATTAAGGACTTTTTCTGGTTAGTTCTCAAGCATATATAGATCTATATCCATTATGTGGCTCTACGACCTCTAGTCATTAAAAAAAAGTGTGGAGAGAGAGAGAGAGTACAAATTGGGGTACATTCTTCCTTTCAACAATAGCAGAGATCTGTGTTGGATTACAGTGGTTTGCAGAGATATGGCTTTATTGTTCTGATCCTGTAAATAAGATTCATGCAGATGGTTCATGTGAGCAGATGAATCCGACTCTGACCTCGACTGAATTCATCAGGTCTCCACACAAACAAGCTCTTTTACTGAAGAGAGCATTAAATCATGTTTTAATTTCAAAGATGGGTGAAGCCCCTACCAAACATTAAGAAATACCGAATTACTAAAACTTCCCATTACTTCTCAGAATAGTTTAAAAAAAAAAAAAAGAAAAAAAAAGACAACAAAAAACCCAAAGCAAAAAACCCCCCCCAAAAAACCCCAAAACACAAAAAAAACACCAACCCCAAAAAAACCACCACAAACAAAAACACAAAACCCCACCACACAGGCGGTAAGTGTTTCCCCTTGCTTATCTGTTCATGAATACGTAAACTAGCAGTTTCACAACACATTTCTTAATATGTGACTCAAACTATTGTTTTAGAGTTAAGAAGGTATCGCAGAGTTACATTCATTTTGTATTTAACAGCCTCTCACATACAGTTTTTGTAGTAAAATATTTGGTAAGTACAGGAAGACTTCTGGCAGTTTTTCAAATAGTTGCAGAAAACGCGTTTCAATTTAGACCTATTTATCCCTACCTTCCATAAGAATTTCTTCATTAATACCTCACACTAGCTATTAAACAACAGGACGTGATCTACAGTATGGAATTTCATGCATAAAAATATTGTAAATCATTCTTACCTGCTGCAAGCTAAGAATAAGTGTTTTAGCACACTGGATTTTGTCTATCTGTCTTGTTTTACTCATCGTTTCTTTAATAATATCACCATAGTCATTGTAATACTAGGAAAAATTAAAAAAAAGGTTAAACTTTAAATTTTAGTTGAAAACATTACAACTACTGAATTCTTCAGAAAACAACATTGGGGATTTGCTGTTTAAAAAAATTCTTTGAACACTTTCAAAAGAAAAAACCTAACATGTTTATGATGATACATCATCAAAATTATATCCTAAACCAGCTCCAAAATGCTAAAAAAACCCCTTCAAATCAGGAAGAGTAGATCTACTTCTTTTCATTCTCATCATTAGTATTACTTTAGAGGCAGAATGACCTATTTATCTTTAGGGCCATGACACATTTGCTAATGACACATGTTTACCCCTTCAGGGTACAAGATTAGAATCTCATCTTTTTAGTAACTCCTATAACTCTGGTGGGGAGTTTTCTATTTTCTCTGCTGAAATGAAGCACTTATGGATTGCATCATAGCCATAATTTTTCCAATGAAGACAGCTGCCTGTTCAGTTCTTTAAGTATTTCAGGTTCAATAGAGACCCAATTATTTATTTAGAGATTCAAAATATATGTAGGGCACTCAGGAAGACAAAAGCAGGCTGCCCAAATTTTAATTTTTTTTAAGGTAATCACCAAGGAGCAACACTTTATCATGTTCACAAAATGAGAACTCATATTATTGTGCAACTTTGAGTCCCAGGAGCCAAGAAGGGGTTTTTATATTTAAATAACATAGAAACAGATATAAAGATCACCGGGGTGGGGGGGAACTCACAAAACTTTTTTTTCCTCTTCTACAAAGTTTAAGCTGAAATTATTTGATAAGGCTAAACATCATGGAGTTGATCTTTGTGAGAAGATTCGTAAAAGGCCTACTAAACTAATAACCGAATTAAAAATACACCATCAATCAGGATAAGAAAATAAATGTATTAAAACCAACGTAAAAATAATTATCAGGTTTCCTTCCTCCCACCCTGCCACCCCCACACTGGAACTGTGAAACTAATCTCAGTCATTTTTTCCCCTTCTTATGGAAAAAGAACTTTTAAAGGCTTACAAACTACCAATTCTGGAGTTTTGAATTCTTCACGTTTTGAATCAGTTATCTTGTAAGGTAAAAAATAAATAATAATTTAAAAATCCACAGCTACCGTATTGTAGTAGTTTTATGAAGTATCACTACTATGCTTCAGATTTACCTTCATATATTGCTTGAAAATGTCTGCAGCTGTATTCATTTCCACCACAGTATATACAATGAGTTTACAGAAAGCTGCAAGTAGATTTCTTCTTTTGTGCAATGCTTCAATTTTGCTAGCTTCATCATCCTGCTGTCCATCTAGAAAGAGTTCCAAACATGAAAACTGTCAGGTTTAAATACTTCGTATTTAAGCATTTATATATTAAGTGATACAGGCTAATGGTCAGGATTCAGAAAACCCAAATCTCAATTCTGACAGCAGTGCACTTCATTGTCCACTGACAAGTCTCTTTTCCTGATACAGAGGACATAAACCCAGCCCTTATCACGATTATCGTACATGTCCCCAAAACATAAAATGCTTTAATCGGCTGCTGTATTTAAAAGACAAATCTACCTCTGTGCCCATGCACACCTCTCAATGCCAGAAAAAAAGGAAAAAAAAAAAAAAAAAAGCCACACACACAAAAAACATAGGCAACAAATCTATGAGTTAGAAGGCAAATAATATAACGGAAACATAAGTTTTGTACAAACCTGCACTATTATTATCATCATCCTGATCAATGAAGACATGATCTAAAATAAAACTGAGTAGTTCAGATTGCAATGAAGAATCAGGAGTGTAAACAAGTGGCTCCAACATGTCACGTCCTCCTGTCATAATCTGATGACTGAAGATCATCAACACATCACACAGAATTGTGAACGCCTATTAAAAAGAAACCTTAGTAAATACTTTCTTGGAAACTGGATTTTGTTTAGAATAATGTATTTACACCTAATAAAATACTTAGAGCCCTATGGTGTACCACAGACCACTTAAATCCTAAACAACTACACAGGCCAACTGGAAGTCAAAATGTGCATAGTTTCTTACAAGAGGTTGTTGTATGAAGACTGGGTCTCCAAATAAAAATATTGCACAGATGAAGCCAACTAAATATCAAAACATTGTGAGATTAAAACATGAGGAGCCTGAAACTCCCAAATTCTGCCTGACGGATACTACATTAGGTCACTAGAGAACTTTGTGGACACCAACCATAGTACAGTCTCATTTTTTCTTTCTTTTTTTTTTTCCCAATTGTTTCGATCACATTTGTAACACATCACATCTAACAGCTGAGGACATTCAATCCCTTTAAATCCTAATGTCTTGCTTCCAAAAAAGCAACCACCTCTTCATTTTGCTGGCTAACTTGTACATCTGACATCAGAATTTAGATGTCTGTACTCCACCTCCCCGGAAAGTTCAAACGTATCAGTACGTAGACTGACATTCTTCAAACTAACAGACCAAGGCAACACACTGCTTAGTGCTGCACCTCATTTCTTTGACTTTAATCTCTTAAGTACTTCCATTTTAACAGAGAGATCTGTTCTCTAACTCCTCAAAGTAAGTATTACTAATTTCCTGGTCACAAAAATACATATGGTCCTCCGAAGTCCCTTGTGTCCATTCATGAGATTGGAGAAGGAAAGCAGAAACATGGCTGTTGTACCCTATGTGACTGAGGCAGTTCTAGTTTCTAGGGCATTCACCCGAGCCTAAGTTATACAGCCTTTTACAGAGACCTACTCAGAGCTTCAGTAATTTCTGTTACTTGCACTTTCACACCCTACACCTTGTGATTTTGACACTAGATAGCTCTCTGACATAGAACATGCCTATTCAGTTCCAGGAATATTCTTGTTATAGCAAGAGTTTCAAAAGCTGCAGTTGTGCGACTCAGTAGACCAGATTTTCAACTCATCCAGGTTATTATTCATTTTAGCAGCAAAAATGCTCCTGGCTTTCTATTTGTTTAATTACAAAGTATACCCAGAAGACAGTTTGGTCCTTCCCCCATAGAGATATACTCTTTTTTTTTTTTTTTCCTTTCATTTTAGCATTCTAAAGATGGTTAAAGGCATTTACTTAGAACTAATCCTGCTATCAGTAACCTGTGCTCTTCACTGGAACCTGAAAAACCTGTGAGTGTCCTGGCTAGAGAACTATTTGACCACAGACAGGAAGAGAGTCAGCTCCTACAGTTTAACCTTTTCCTTTGACCCTGTTACCCTCAGAACTCAAGACAAGTATTTCCAAAGATGATGTCTCAATTCTTTCTGAAACAGAAGAAAAATTAAAAACAACTCCCAAAACATTCACACCTGCATTTTTCTTCAAAAAAGCCAGGACACTTGCCTCCTGCCTGAAACGTCAGACACTACTTGCATAGACTAAATACATACATACTTTATGTCTGAATTATCCCAAGAACTCAGTTCCTGCTAAAACTCTCCCCCCACAAAGGACAACTATGAGGGACTGACTATAAAACTGGTAAAACAAAAACCGCTCACATGCTTTCCAAGCAGTACATCATTGTCGAGGCTTCAAGCGTTTGCTAGAACAGTTTCCAAATATCTCTAAACACCACTGTTAACAACTGAGCAGTGTGTGAGTGTACCTAAGGGTGACCACAAAAAAGAAATACCACTTCCCAACAATAAAATCCCCCAGGTTACAGTGCATACGTGCGCGTGTATAAACACACACACACTCATGTTAAGTACCCATTCTTTTTCTCCTGATTCAGAGACCCCCAAAATCCTGGGACTCTGAAGAACTGAGGAATATATTCCGTATGCAGCATCATGGTGAAGGGGAACAGGCAGAGAAGTTGCTGCCGTATGTCCTCGCAGGTTTACAGCAAGAGGAAGAAAGTGGTTTTCACAGTTCTGGAGCGGATGGGCACACATATATCATAGTACAAATGTGGGAACATAAAAGCATTCAAAGACAGAATTAAAAAAAAGTAACTCCTCTCTTCTAAATAGCTGTCCCTAGCTCTTCCAGCTTGATTCTATGAACCCACAATCAGCTCCACCGGAGGTGTGTGTCATGATCACATGGTAAGCAGGAGCTTTGGAATGGAACTCTCCCACCTAACTTACAAACCAGAAGGCTTCCACAGTGCACCTGCCCAGCCATTGTTTAAAGAAACAAGCAAAAACTCCCTTTGAATAAAAGTTCATGCCGCCTCAGATTACTAGAAAGAAAAAGTTTAAATTGATTCTGAAATCCTACCTAAATTACCTGAATGAAGGCAAGCATACAAGTACAGTTTGTATTCACACTTGAAGGGCATTCAGCCTAAACATCCAAGACACACCACATTCCCACATAAGCGCTAAAAATGTTACCAAGAGGAACTTTTCAACTGCTTTAGAAGTATAATATTAGAAGACTACAAGGATAAACAACAGTCACTAACCTGTTCCTTAACAGCAGTGTTTACATTGGTCAGGTAGTGTTGACAGATTTGACAGAACACTCTCATCTGCTTCTTTAGACGTAGAAGATCCTCCTTTAAAGAGAAGGATTTCTTATAACAGTTTTGCTTTTTCAATTTTATAGTCACATTTAGTGTATGCATTTTCACAGAGCTATCCACCACAGACCTCATACATAGTCGTAACATTCAAGCCCACTGCATTATTTAAAAATCACTATTACAAATAAAAAAAGCAAGTAGCAATTTCCTCAATTTTGTCATCCTGTGTACTGCAAAAAGAAATGGAAGTTGAAATGAAAATAGTGAAGTTATTTATCAAAAAAACAGTAACAAGGAAAAAAGAAAACCCCAAACCAAACCCAAACCTAACCCCCCCGCCCCCTCCAGAAAAAACCCAACCCAGAGCACAAAGCATTTTCTCTTTAAAATACCTATATTTTCAACCTAAAGGATAGAATTTAGGTAGCTGTTTATAACTAAAACAGACAAGGCTACATGGTATTATTTTATTTTTTTAACTCACTGCTTGGGGATAAAGTAAAAGGTCAGATGAGAGTTGGGGTTTTCTTCCCCT